GCGATGGCAGAAAAGAAGACTGCAATACCTGGTAGGTTATTAGTGAATGTAGTGGACATTTCGTTACGTAATACTAAAGATGAACTAGATACGTTTATTATTAATTCTTATTCAAAAAGCTATATTTCATTATGCTAACACCTGGGTTCGAAGTTGCTTATTTTCAAACATATATTATATATTCTTGTTTAATTTTGTTGCATTGCTTGATGGATTCAGTTATAGTGTGGGAGTTGAACCCAATATTTACATGCCGATCGTTTGGGACATTTCAATTCATAAACGCATCTGTAAATTGAAAAAACGTACATGCAACCGGGTGAAGCCAGAAGGAGTAAACAAACAGTGTTAGTATTACAAAAATATGTAGTGACACTGACAGAAATCAGTGAGTGTCAACAGCTCTACAAGTTATGATACACCCTGTCTGGGGCTTATTATTTTTAATCTTTCTGTCCAAATATTTGTACTTAATATGGCAGTTTATTCAATTCATTCATTCAATTTATTAAATTGAACTATTTTCAAATGTTCGGTTACTATCATTATTACTGCAAAAAAGATCAATATTTGGTTGCATGGTAATTTCCCACATTTTACCCTATGTAAAACAATTTTCCAAATAAAACAAACAATTTTCCAAATAAAATAATGAATTTTCCAAATAAAACAAAGCCAGCAATGCTCCGATGTCATGTAGTCGAATAGCCTAGCCCTGAGTACAGTCATGTAAGTTGGCCTCCTTCCGCTGATCATTCGGCCCCCAAAGTACTGAGAAGTCGCATAGACCGAGGAATCGACACCGCCTACAAATTTATGGCGGAGAACCGTTCTGCAGTTTTCATGATTGTAACCAGCTAAAACATCTATCGACTAATCTAGCGATCACAAATACCTTTTTTGTGGCCGAAAAATGAATCTACAGTACTGGAACATTGACGAAATCTAGTTTTACGCAAAGAAACAACGTTTTGTTAATAAATACGTCAAGAACAAGATGGCGGCGTGTATTTTCGGTTGACGTTGGAAAATGTCGATTTGATCGACCCTAGTAGGGAGCTTATGTACTTTCGCTTCCAGTTAAGGTATTTAGAATAGTTGGACGTATCGACCTGCATATTTTTTAACTGCAAAGCTGAATGCCTCTTAAATCGCCCGAACATTCACAATAGTGTCGAATTCCCGGTCTATGCGACTTCTCAGGACTGTGGGGCCGAATGATCAGTGGAAAAGGCCAACCTACAGGACTGTACTCGGGGCTATCGAATAGCCGTGACTGTCGGCACCGGTCGTATTATAAGTTTCATAATCCGTAATCGGAACCTCAATCTCGCTGCTATGTGCATCCAGCATTTAGTGTCACGTCTCTCAATTTTCTATTCTTAGCTGCATTACATATATATTGTTGAATTCAAACAATTGAGTAATTTACAGTAATGTGGCAGTTGTGCAGGCCGACACTGTTTTTTGCAACTACAACACTGCATGATTTCTTATTAATCAGGTTTTGAGTCATATTGTTGCATCATCACTATTATAGCTTTTGAATACATACTGTAAAACATGTCTTTTTCGCGAGCATGTCTTTTTCGCGAATTTAGCGAGAGAACTCATTCTCTAAATCAAGATGTCGCTAATGACTTTATAAATTCAAAATGGCCGCCAAACAGAGAAATCAACAATGACAAGAGAGATTCGCTAAATCAACATTTTACCACAATTTGCTAAAATTGCATGTCGCTTTTTCGACATGTTTTACAGTACATTTAACAACCAAGTACTTATAAACGTTAAAACGCTACATTTCTCAGGCTGGATCACGAGGGCGCTGACAGATGGTCATTTCAATGTTTCTATATGATCTGATGAGAAATGCATTCTGGATGATAATAGGACCCTTTTCTTCATATGCAATGTCAAGGGAATTAAGAAAGAAATGAAGAAATAATAATTTTGCAAAAAGTTCTAGAGCGATTGCTATAATTATAACATTCTTGGCTTGATTGATAATGTCCAATCGCAGTCGACACAACATTATGATAATGAATGCTACCTTGTCTTTCCTATTTCGTTACCATAACGTATCCACCAAATTCGGCTTCGTGCTTAATAATCCGTTTCAACCTTATGTCAAATCAACGTTTCTGAAGTGCCAATCCAAGCAGTCAACAGTCTGTGTGTATGATTCTATAGTGGCCAGTTGAACCATCATACTAACACATGTAAACCAACTACTGAAATTACATCAGTCTGATGACATTTATTATATCCTTTGACAGTTATTGTATGAGCGATGGAACCTGGATGTGCACAAAGATTCTGTGTGGGGATACAGGTACGTTTTATTTAACAACATATATTTTAATTTCTAGATATTCGGACCAAAGCAAACGACAAAATTGCCGGAGTCACAATCTTCTACATTTAATATAACTACGTATCTCAGAAAGCAGATGGGAAATTTGAATTGTCTTAAGTTAAACTTGGAAACTGCTGTAAAAACAAGTCATGTGAAACAAGTTTGGGAATCTCGTTTTATTCATAAAATATACCATGTATATGGATGATATTGACAATAAAGGTGATTATTACATCCATAAAATATTATAAAATTAAAATAAATTATTTCATTTTCTTTACAGTTATCGAGGCAGTCGAGCTCGAGGCTACCGCTGAAAGACTGACAATAGGCTGAGCTAACACTTGATTGAATTCATCTATTTAAGTCATCCTTTAATCGGCAAACCCCTTCTTCGCAAATAAACTATACGATCAATAACTATGGCTGGTTACGACAGCTAATATATATTCAATAATTGTTTCTTCGAATTTATTCAAATAAACTCGGCCTGTAAATAATGTTGTTGTTGTTGTTGTTGTTGTTGTTGTTGTTGTTGTTGTTGTTGTTGTTGTTGTTGTTGCTGCTGCTGCTGATGATGATGATGATGATGATAGTGCCACTAATGATATTGTACATCTTACTTTTGTTAGCCACGATGACAGCTTAATTGGTATATATTTCTACTTTGCCTACAATAAACTGTATTACCTTTATCTATCTATATATCTACGCATGTGCGGACGTCTCTCCACATCGCTCCGAAAGATG